CCACTTAGGCATTTGAGCAGCTGAAGAAAACCATGACGAATGTCCCTGTATTAGCACTACCATATTTCAACCAGTCATTTGTAGTGGAGATTGATGCATCAGGTTATGGGTTGGGAGCAATTCTTATGCAGAGTTAGAGACATATAGCTTATTTTAGCCAAGTATTGACCACTAGGGCAAGGCTGAAATTAGTGTATGAAAGGGAGCTGGTGGTGATAGCATTGACAATAGAAAAGTGGCATTGTTGGGACAAAACTTCATAGTTAGGATCGACCAGAGAAGTTTGAAGTTCCTGGTAGAACAGAGGATGTTGACATAAGAGCATCAGCGATGGCTTTCCAAGTTGTTGGGTTATGACTTCGGGATCTAGTACAAGCCTAGGTTAGAAAATAAAGCAGTAGATGGTCTCTTCAGGCATAGTGAATACCCTCAGGTTATGGCTCTATCTATTCCCATGGTGGTGGATTGGGAGGCCTTAAAGTATGAGAGCGAGCAGGTTGAGGAGCTAAGATTAGAGGAGACTTGTTACAAGACAAGGATAAAGATTCTAGTTATTCATTGATGGGTCAGAAGCTGCTATATCTGGGATGGTTTGTATTTTCAAAGAAATCTCCACACATCCCTCATTTATTGCATGAGTTTATGGCACAACTATTAAGGGACATTCAAGAGTTCAGAGGACATCATAGACTGACAATGAAACTATACTGGGTGGGCATGTGAAAGGATGTAGAGGAGTTGGTGGATAGTTGTGATGTGTCAAAGACACAAATGATTATATATGGCTCCAGGTGGTCTTCTATAGCCTTTAGCATTACCCGAGAAGGTGTGGGAAGAGGTGACTATGGACTTCATTGAGGGACTACCGAGATCAGACGGATTTACTATGAATCTAGTAGGAGTGGACAGATTGAGCAAATATGCTCATTTCGTTCCCTTATGCCACCCTTACACCACAGTGTCAGTGGAAGCCACATTCATTAGTGAGGTGATTTGTTTGCATGGCATACCCAAGGCCAATGTTTTCAATCGGGATAAGGTCTTTCTGAGCCACTTCTGGAGGAAGTTATTCAAGATGCAGGGGACTATCCTGAAGTGGAGTACAACTTATCAACCCCAGACAGATGGTCAGATAGATGTGGTGAATCATAGTATGGAGACTTATCTTCGTTGCTTTGAATAAAATACACCAAAGATGGGGGGTCGAATGGTTAGCCTGGGCTGAATATTGATATAACACTTCATATCATACAACAGCCTATAATGCACAGACACGGACACGGTGACACGGATACGACATGATACGGACACAAGACGCGTCAATTATTGAAAATATAGGAAGCGGACACGGGTTGGACATGATATTATAATTTTTATATTTTAAAAATAGTGCATTAAAATTAAATAAGTATAATATTAAAAATAATATAGAAATAATAAGTCATTTAACTAGAATTTGTGTTTAAAATGATTAATATTATGATGTCGAGAGTCGGGCATCGAAGTCATACTATAAGTATTGGGCGTCGATGTCAAGAAGACGTCTGCCATCAATGTTGACAGGGCATGGTCATCGATATTAAGATGATGTCGGACAAAGATGAGCTGTCAAGTTGTGAGTGTAGAAATTATTAACATCAAACATCAATGTTAAGATAGTGTTAGACTTTGATGTTGAGATGGTTTTGAAATATTGATGTTGTAATGACGTTAGCCGTCCATATTGAGATGACATCGGGCATTGTTGTGAAACCAAAGTCGTGACCACTAAAGAGAAATGAAAATGAAAATATTCGATGAATGAGGTGTTGAGTGCGGACAATTGATTTATTGTTATAGATAGGAAATAAGATAATTATTTATCTAAAATAAATAAAAATTTTAAATACAAGAAATTATATTTTTAAAAAATTCATAAAATATTTAAGACACGTGTCGGACATGTGTGCCCAATTTGTATTTAATAGTTTTTTAATCAGACATGTTTTCAGTGTGTCCGACATGTATCGGAGACATGTCGGATGCATGTCGTGTCAGATACTTATCCGACACTGCACGCCTCTTTGAGGAGAAGTTTCAGTGCATCATAGACAACGGCCTAGGTAATGCCATTTAAAATTCTATATGAGAGGGATCCACCTCATCTGATACATTATGGGCATGGCAACACACAAATGTCATCAGTGGAGCAATACTTGGGTGAAAGAGACTGGATTTTGACATAATTGAAGGAATATCTACAAAGAGCACAATAAATCATAAAGAAGTAGGGGGATTGACATAGGAGAGATGTGCAGTTTAAGGGGGGCATGATTTATTTGAAGATCCGACCTTACAAACAGAGGACTTATGCTCGACAAAGGAATGAGAAGCTCTCCCTCCACTACTTTGGGCCCTACGAGGTAGTGGAGTGCATTGGCTCAGTAGAATATTGCCTACGATTGCCACCGATCTCAGTCATCCATCTCATATTTCATGTATCGCAATTAAGACGAGCCATTGCAAACAATACACCCTCGCCCGCACTACTGGCCATACTGTTAGAAGACATGGAGGTGATATTAGAACCATAGGAGGTGAAAGGGGTGCGCCAAGGAGACAAGGGGATCAAGGAGGTGCTGATTAAGTGGAAGGATTTACCAGATTATGAGGCGACATGGGAGCACTACAGTACTATTCTGAAGCAGATTCCCTTTTCCCACCTTGAGGACAAGATGGCTTTTTAGGAGGGGGTATTGAAGCAGCTGGCAGCAACAGTCCAGCTGCCCAGGTGGGGCCCAGGACCTCCTTTATCACCTATAGAAAAAGAGAATTTAGGAGGAAACTCTTTGGGAAAGGGAGGAACTCTTTGGGAAAGATGTAAGGGACATTTATTAGGAGATTTGGTTGTTTAAGGGGGTAAATTATGGAGGGTTAGGGTTTTTATGTTATATTTTGAATTTTTGTAGTTGTTTTTATGAGGTGTTTGGGTTCCTAGTAACTGCTAGGAATTATAGGAGAGACAATTCACCTCTCAAATAGTGAATCAACTTGTTTCTTGTCTTACTTTGCTTGGAAATTAATAAAAATGGCTTTCTTGGAGTTATTTATGGATCTATTTGGAGTAAGTTATTTTTTTATATTGTTGTGTGTTGTTTTGATCATTAAGTCCTATCAGGAACATAATGTTAAAATATTTAAAAGCATTACTACTTTGGATTTTTTTATTAAGAATACACAAGAAAGATGAGTATGATCATTTACGAAAGAAATAAACCATATGGTTTTAGGGACATCTTGACTCTAGAAGATCCCCATACATCATTAGGGATTAAAGCAAAAGTTTGTGAAGGTTTGCAGGTTTGATTGCAATAGGAGATATGTGTGTGCTTAGTTAGATGATAATTTTCACATTAAAAGTCCTTTGAGTTTTTATTAATGAATAGAGAAGGAATTAATTTTTAAAGAAAAGTACGGATTGAGTGTCCAATGTAATAATTCCAAAGTCAAATATCACTATCATTATTTGAAGTGTATTTGGAATTTAAAGTAGGGGTTTTGAATCTTTGCTAGATATGGAACCAGTTGTTTTAGATCATATCTTAAGGAATCATTCTTTAGAAGCTATAGTCCTAAATCTTTGCACTACCAATCACCCTCCCTGAGTTCAAGTCCAAAGTTACTTAGATTATGTGAGAAATTATTAACATAATATTTATGTCGAGTGAATTTGGCAGCCCATAACAAGCCAAGATTTAGGTTAAGTAATAAAATCACATAATCAACTGTCAAATCTTTTGAGAGAATGACAAAACTCATTCTAAACACTATTGATAGTGACCCATCTGCAATATGAACCTTATAGTTTTCATGACATAAGTTATAATTGTAGAATATTTTTTTTTCTCTGCTCATATGAACTGAATCTCCTAAGTCTAATATGCAAGTAGTAGTTTTCTTCATGTTTGTAATAGAAAAATATTAGAATTTACTATTTTAAGTGACTAAGCTTATCCTAGTAATGTTCGAAAATAAGTTTTTATTGAGAGAATAGTTGATTGTCTTAAGTTTGATGTCCAAGTGCTAAAATATGAAAGAAAAAGCCGCTGCGATCTGTTTTTGTTGTTTTCTCTCTTTGAAATTTTTAGTCCAAAATTTCATCATAGATTTTCCATGTTTTGGATCTGGGTTTTCTATTTTGAAATTGATCTCCAACATTTGAGTTATCAACTTCTTGACCACTATCTTCTTTGTGGTAGTTGCCACCATCTTCTTAGTGATAGATTCCACCACGTTCTTTCCAAAGGATCCTTCCCATATATTGTTATCACTTTTGTTGGATGAAAATTAGCTTTGAGTGCTGCTGAAGGGCCCATTGACATGAAGAAGAAATTCCATATTGAAGGACCCTTCGGTCTCACAAGTAGAACTTTAAGGATTATAATAAAATTTTGAAAATTATAATGAGATGAGAAGAGAGTAGAAAATGGGAATTGTATGTCTTAATTTATTCTCTTGTTCTGTGTGAAAAATAATATGAGAATTTGAATATAAATATGTAATAAATAACAATCAAGGAAAGAAACAAATATAAAAATCAATCTTTAATTATAGAATCTAGAATTATCTACAAAATAGAAATAGAAAGTTGTCATCCACCGATTGTAGGATTGTTTAAAATGGAAAGTTATTGTCCACATGTTGTAGGGTTGCTGTAGATGGAAAGATTTTGGTAATGAATTCAAGATTATTTTAACAGGATCCCAATGGAGAATTATATCAAACTTATACTTTTATGACTTCACCTCAACTTATTTTCATGCTCAAGGATGTTTTGCTAATATTCATAAAAATCCTAAACCACCCAATCCCCAAGAGAAGACCTTCACAAATATCATCTAAAAGTAATTATCTACTTAATACACTAGATTATTTAGGACATGTATACGTTCTTCAACTCATAAATCATCATGGGAGAAGCATAGCAATTATAATCTAGAGATACGACAAGATTGAATTACCAGTGGTCTGGAACTCCGGGGAATGAGCAAGCAATGTAGCTCAAGATTGCATGACTGCAAAAAATAATTTGATAAAGGTGTTAAACAATGAAAATGATGACAACAAATGTTCATAGATAAATGAACTAATATGACAAAAAAAAGACAAGGAGCATAAGCAAAAATATTTTAAGTTATCAAAAAGTTACATTATGATGCAAAATAATCTCGTGGAATATGCACGAAAAAGAAAAACAACATATATGTGTTAAAAGATTTAATTAGAACAAATACAATAGAAGATAGAAAAACAACATAGAAGATAGTAACTTTTTGTCCTAAAGTTCTTATTTACTGTTCATTCATTAAAATTACTGTAGCTATTAGTGAAATTCTTTTTCACTTACCTTCACATGCATGGATTTGATCTGAAGCCATAGGGCTGAAATTTAATCACATAAATATTAGTTATATTATAACATATATATCTATATATGTACATTAGATAAGCAGTGAATCCATTTCAATTCCTTCCTCCTACCGTAATTGACCTCTGGAGCTGAAGCAGCAGCGGCTATCAGATGCACCTCAGCTAAGGTACTGTAGCCGAACCAATGTAGCGATGTTACTGTAGCATGCGAAGAAGACGAAGAGAAAACAAGAGAAAGGAAAAGATGGAAGAAGAAAATTTGCGTGAAAGTTTTATTGTGTTCAATTAAGATTGTAGGAATAAGAAATTTGAATGAGTAGAAATTTAATCGAGGTAAAATCTTATTTTTGAGGTTTTTTTGTAAATTGGATTTTTGAATTAGAGATTATTTATATTTTATGAAAATCATGATTTATTTATATTGTGTATAAAGAAAAACAAGTCGGGTATCCTAAGGATCTATGCACACACACCGGGAGTGAAATTAAATGTTTTAATTTTTTTCAATATCGTATTGTACGATATAAGTCGTACTATATGATATGTGTGTTCAGAAATTAATTAAAATATTTAAAGTAAATTAAATTTTGAATTAATCATACTATACAAATTTAATCGTACAGGACGATCAGCTGTATTTAGGAAACCCCACCGACAATTAAATTTGGGCAACATTTTGAATTTTGCAAATTGTTTAATACGTGTTGTACAACATATTCATATTTTACGATATTTAAAAATCTTGCCTAAATTAATACCAAAAATTAATCAATCGAATCAGGCTTAATTAACCATTAAGATCGTACGAAACGATTCAGAGTGTATTGGATGATAAACAGAGACAGTTTTTTGTCGCCCAAGAGTTTGTCCTGGACAAACTATGATTCAATTGAACTAATCATATTGTACGACCATGAGATCTTAATGGGCGATAAGTAAAAAAATTTGAATTGATCGTACAGACTAATATTCATCGTGCAATACTGAAAGGGAGAATTAAACTAACAGAATTATATGATCTACAGATCATACTATACGAACAAAGACGGTTAAATTGAAAATTAGAATTATTTTTTAGCCAATTATTTAAACATAGCTTACTTTGTTTGAGAGTCTTTGACAGTTAAGGGGCTTGAGTCATTTAAGAGAGAGAATATGAAAAAAGAGCTTTGGGCAAGTGAAATAAAGGTTTTATTGAAAGAGAGAGAGAATAGCCTTGTGGGATCAAAGGAGTGTGAGAGAGAGTTTACATACGGTTGCTTAGGCCAACATCCATCTTCTTCCTCCATGAGTAAAGGTTTTACTTGAGGCAAACTCTGAGAAGAACTTCTTGGAGTCAAAGGGCCACCGGCTACTCCGCTGCACCGTTAGTTAAAGGAATTCAGCTATGCCGCTGCACCAGGTTGGTGGAAGAGATTCTTATAAGGGCTCCTCCGCTTTGATGTGGGGTCAAAAGGAGAGAAACTAAAAAATTTAGTAAATACTCGGAGAGGACTTTGGGAAGTGGACATAGGTCAAGTTGACCTAACCACTATAAAATTATGGTGTGTTTGATCTTTTATTTTTCGCATTTTATTTTCTGCATCCATTCCTTACATATTTATTTTCATGCAATCTGATTTGTGTTGTGATTATTAAGATGCAAGACTTGTGATTGATTTAGGTTATTTTTTAGTTGAAAAAGAAATAAAAATTATAAAATAAAAATTAGAAAATAAAAAGAGTAAAATATATATTTATTTTTCTACAAAAATCCAAAAGAAAAAAAATGCTTTTATTTCATTATTTGCTTCTGCTTTAAAAAAATCTGATTTTGATTTAAGTTGTGAATTTGGTTTAAACTTTCAAAAAAGGGAATTTTTTTTAAAAAAAAAATTGAAACACCAATTTACCCCCTTTTGATATGTTGTTGTAGTTCAAGTGGTTTAAAAATTATAAATTGAACTTTCAATTGATTTATTGCAAGAAAGGGGAAGGAGCTAGTGGGGCTTTAGGAAGGAGATTAACTACAATGTGTAAATAGTCATTTTGGCTATTCAATTTTGGGTATAGATAGAAGATTGATCAATAAGGTGTAAATTAAAGTTTTTTTATATGTAAAATTTTATTTAACATTTTTAGTAAAGCTCTGTACTTTATTTTGATGAATATTGTATATGCTTCCAAACATATAATCATGAAATATAATTTTATAGCTGGAATATATTTATGTTGGGATAGTCTGAATAGATTAATTTACTACTCACTCGATCTTGATGAATGCAGTTTAGGATGTATGCTGGTAAGAAATGTATTTGTCCGAATTTTTCATCTTTGTTACATCTCAGGTTAACTGAGGTGGGTCAAAATAGTTTGTGATAAAAATTACACTCCATGTATTTAGTTTTAGATCTACTTAAACAAAAACCTTTAGTCTCTAAATTTGACCTACATAATTCATATTTTTCGTCAACTCCCTCCGTAGTCTTATCAACAATAAGATTATCATTAGTAAAAAGTATACGCTAGGGAACATCCTCTTGTAAATGTCTAGTAAGAACCCAAAGATTAAAGAAAAAAGATATGTGCTTAAAGCTAATCATTGATGTAATCCAATTGAAATAGGAAAATACTTTGTGAAACCACCTTGCATTTGAACATAAGTAATAACTCTTGCATACATATCCTTAATGAGTTGAATATAAGTATTATTAACTACTTTCTTTTCTAAAACTCTCTAGAGTATTTCTCTTGAAACTTTACTTTAAGATTTCTCTAAATTAATAAATATCATATGCAGATCCTCCTTACTCGCTCTATACTTCTCCATCAAACCTCAAAACAAATTTTGAGAAATTTTAGTATCATTTTATAACCTAGGCATAAGAACTCTCTCCCATAAATTTAATGTATGACACATTAACTTAATTCCTCTACAATTCGCACACCCTAAATCTGAGCCAAATAAAGAAAAATCCAAGTTCTCAAAGAAATCCTAAATATCCACCCAAAATTAAGGTTTAAGTATTCAAAAGATAACTAATGGAGAAAAGAAAAAAAAATGCAGGATACTGATGCTCATCATTTTACGGCAATTTTTTTACTATTCATTAACAACTAATAAGGTATAAGATGGTAGGATCTATATGAAGAGGTAATATAAAGTCTACGGACCTATGTGATGGAATTTACAAACATACAAACCTATATAAAGTCCTTCTACAACCCTATGAAACGGCCAGATGCGATTACCCATCTATTAATCAAATCAGGTAATCTTTTTATTTCCTCAAGTTTCAGGTTCAATGTAGGTAGTCTTGAAAAGATCTCCTTCCGAGGAATCTGGTGAATCATTTTAATATTATGATAGAAGCTTTCCTAAAAAAAGATATATAAAGATTGATCTATTTATTTAGCATGTTGCCAATAGCCCATCTTGAATCTTATTCTCATTCAAGAATTTATATATATATATATATGCTTTAAAATCAGACATACCAAAAAAATGGAGAAAATGCCTTAAGTTTACAAAGCATTTGAAATATAATAAAAAAATGTGCTAGGATGTCCTGACACAAACAAATTATGTCAAAATGAGTTTGATTAATGCCATCCATTTTGTGCTGAGATGAGCGTATATGTTGCACTAATCTCAACACGTAATGGAAGGCTTCCAAGCGCATCCTAATGTGATTTGCTTCAGGACATCTTCACTCAATTTTTTTTCTTTTGAATTTGAATCAACAACAAAGTGTCAAAGAATATAATCCGTAAATGAAATTAAAATGTATACCAAGTTACTGATAACTTTGGTTGTACTAATCAGGAGTTTATCATTGCAGAAAAATCTTTCACAAAATTTTTTTTTAGCTTTCCTACATCTCACCAAAACAAATAGAACTCTTCACTGAATACTCACAGCAACATATACTTCATAAACGTCGTTTACAGCAAATATACCCTTGAAAAATGTATAATTTCTAATTTTAAACAATGTTTACAGCCAATATCTAATTTCTTATTTACTAATTCTGTTAATTCTACTTCATACTATACAGTTGTGCGCAAATTTAGTTTCTGAAGAGGAACCTCTGTATTTCTGTGACTGATGCTCGCCCTTAATGAGATCTATCCGCACCTCCTCAAAATCAATTCCATTTACCCTGAAAATAACCAACTGAAAAGAAATATGTAAAATAATATAAAATAAAAACTCATTCGTGGTAGAAGTTCGATCGCATAAAATAAGTAATCTGTTAGGGTTCGAATACATACTTGCACAAGATTATGACTGCTCGTGACGGCTGCGATAGTCGATTGGCATACACTTTGAGCTTCATATTCACTCCGCTGAAATCTTCAAAGAGAATTCTATAAGGCTTCAACAATGATCAAACACTACTCTTCTAACTTATGGGACACATTTATTTTTAAATATTATATATTGTTAATATAAGTACATGATTAAAATAATTATTATTAATATTTGGCATGATTTTATTAACAACAAATATTATCTAAAAAAGTATCAACCAAATAATTAAAAATCATCTCGAGAAATAAAAATTGGAGTCATGTTTTGTGGCTTAGCGGCTTTGTTGTATTTCAATGTTAATTGGATGGCTTGATATGAAAGTGTAGTTTCTTCCATTATCAAATGTATATGGTTTTATTGTGATGGCTTTAGTGGAAATATGAAAGATGATTTGGCATATGTTTTGTAACTTCCTTCATAACTTCTGAAAGTTTCTTTTCTTATACTGCTTTAGTTATTTTATGATTTTAGAGTTTGGAGAAAATGTTTTGCACTAGCATGTGTATGATGAGGAAAAGTGTTATATGTATGGTTTGGAAGATGTTATGTGTGTGATTTGAAGAAGTAAAATTTAAGCATGTTGGAAAGATGTGTGCATTTGTGAAAGACAGCTATGGAGGGTTTATGTTGGAAAGTATTATATAAGAAAAAGTAAAATAAAGCGATTGACTTTATGGAGTAAAGTGATTTGATTTGCATATTTCTTTTGAAAGTTGGATCATCTCTTTGCATGGATGAAAAAGAATAGTGGTTTGAAACGCTTTGGGGAAGTGTTGGGAAGCTTTTTGGTTGTTTAAGCACGGGAGATATTCTCCATTTAAAGTAATGTCAGCAAAAGAGCTTTGACTTTAAATGTGAAATAAAAATACATACATAATGTGATTATTCTCGTCTTTTGTCTGTTTACTACTATCATTTTCTTCATGATATATACAAAATAAGTTTGATGGAGGAGAAATTGTTTATGTTGAAAGTCATTTGTTAGCATTATACTACTGTTTTATGAGAAATACTTAGAAGCATATTTGACATCACATGAGGAATGGGCTTATAATCACATAGATGAATTCATCTGTTTTATAATTCAATTGCAACGTTGCATACCTTTCGTTATATAATTTCATGATTTGTGGCTTGGTTTATGTTTGAAAGATCTTTGGTTTTTTTATGTTGAAAAAGAATTATGACTTGCCTCATGTCAGATAGATTCATGATTTGCTTTATGATTGGAAGGATTTATGAGCTATTTTACGTTAAAAGGTTTCATGAATGATTTTTGTGTTGGAAAAGCTTCGTGAATCATTTTGCCTCAAAAAATTATACTATATGTTGTGCGAATGTTTTATGGCGAAAGGCTTTACGAAACTTTCTTGTTGAAAGGATTTTCATGAATTTATCCCACGTTGATGAGGTTTGTCATTCGTTCTGCGTCGGAAAGATTTATAGTAGATGTCATGTGAGAAAGGTTTTATGTGTCGCTTCATTTGAGAGGTCCTATAAGTTGTTTTGGGGAATGAGGATTGTATGAATAGCTTTATAATTTGGAAGCTTGATGTTGAAAGACTCTTTTAGTTCTCTTTTCACGGATGATTTTCTTTTTCTTATTTGCACTTGATTCTAGAGATGAGTTTTAAAAAATTGGAGAGTAGAAGTGTATTTGGGTTGAGAGTGGAAGAACTTGTTTGGGTTTTAGTTTCGGGACTTGTTTCTTCTTCGCTACTTTGAGTTTTATGTGGAGATTGATGTGAGTAGTTGTGTCAAATATTTCGAGCACTTTCTTGAAACATGGGAACAATAATTAGCATCAAAACCCCCTTCCTCTCACATACATTTGGCTTAAACGTCAAATGGGAGCGAAGGATGTTTCGAAGGCATGTCTAGCTTTGAAAAGGCATACCTAGCAACGAGATGCTTACATATTTTTCTTCTAAATTTGTTTCTTTCTTTTTGTATTTGTTGGAACTTTATGTGTAGGTTATGTTAATAATCATTCTGTATTTGATCAAATCATGTGTTTGCTCATTATTCATCATGTTGATGTCAAGTATGCTAAATTAATTTCTATTTGTAAGATTAAACTTGAATGTTATGTGGTCATCTAGATTTAATAGAACTTGTAAATTTGTTGGTTAATTTCTCATGCGTACCTGAAATTACATTGTATGGAGATTGATACATATATTAACAAGTCCTTAAGTGTTCCATGTATGGGTGTATGTTTTATGTTTGGAAATTGTCACATGTTTCACATATGATTTTTTTTACTCATGTTAGTGAGCTTTCATACGCACTAATCTAAACGTGTGGAATTTTATATGTTATTATTATTACTTGTTTGCCCCATTCACTTGTACATGCTCTCTTTCCATATGCTTTAGATGACTTTCAAAATTATAAATTCTAATTGTTTTAAGTTAATTCTTACTTAACTATATTTCTTTCTGAATGGCATCTACGCTCACCCTATGTTTGCTCTTACTTTATTATTTACGAGGTACAATATATCCTATATAGGTGAATCAATGGGATCATTTGCTTGGGAGCTATTGAGAGGGCACGCCATAGTCAAGTATAATCCTTGCTACTTGTAAAATCCCTGTATTGTATGTCGAAATGGTTATATATTACACACACTTTGTTAACCGCTTTTAATTTAATATATATTCTAGAATGTTTAGTTAGTTGGTCATAGATTAGTGCACTAACGAAGCCTTGACCTTATGGGTCAAGGCTTTCCCCCTTCTGCGAGCCCTAGAGACTCTTATGGTCACCTTATGCATGTAGTGTAGGCCCACCTACTAGTGCTATGTGCATTGCAGTTTTCCCATATTAAGTGGGTACCATTAAGATGTTCCCTTTTTCTATTTTGGGTGTGATATGCCCCCTTCTGTGAGCCTTAGAGACTATTAGGGTTATTTTAGGCCTATAGTGTAGGCCACCTATTTGTGCCATATACATCACTGCTTTCCCATATGAAGTGGCCGGGCACCGTTATGATGGTTTTCTATTTTGGTGTGATGCGAATACCTTGCTTGGAGGGTACCCTTGGTGTGTTCAATTACTTTCTATACTTTAGATGTCATGCATGCATTTTTATACAATTACTTCACAGTGCACCCTGTCTACATACATGCATTATATCAGCATTTGTCAAGTAAAAATGCTAAAGTAGAATGTATCTAGGTTGCTTATAAAAGTGAAGATTCAATGTAGAATATATCTAGGACTTCATGTGAAGTATTCATCGTATTTATGTATATTTTAGTTTCAAAGACTTGTAAAAGGTTAAATGTGAGTATTTATGCACATGTATAGGACTCCAAAAGATAATCCTTCCTTCTTTGGAAGATATTCTCTTTTAGAATTCTATAATATAGACTTGGAGCTAGAAGATAACAAATAGCCACATTTAAGCCTGTTCCATTTATAGGTGTAGAAATCCAAGCATGTTGTTGTGGAGCTTGACCACCTTTTCTTTCAGCTGACCTAATAATATTTTTATTTGTGCATCCGTTTCATGCATCATACATGGCATTAGATAAATTTATTTATATATTTTATGTATCGCTGATTTAAACCTCAGAACTAAAAATCATTAATTTCTTAGAATAGAGCCTTCTTATCATGCATATATATATATATGACGATTGATTGTGTTTAGGATGTTAGCCGGCGGCTCACTCTAGGTAAGCATAAGCCCAGATTGTATACCCCTCAGTATGTCTCTTTCCACTTCTGATAGATTTTGAATCCGTCATTTCTCCTAAAATAGTGAATTTCATCTTTGATCTTTTAAACTCAAAATTTTAATCACATCTTTATATTTTTAAAAAGATTTATTCATCACTAAGGATAAAGAGAATAGTTTATCCTCTTTAGAATAGAAGTTAAGAACTTTCTTTATGCACCAAATTAAGAAGAAAATAATATATCATCTTTAATCAAGAGTTTTCTTAGGCTGAGGCCTAAGATGTAATTAACCATGGAGGCTTGCATATATGGGAAACTGATCCCCATATCAAATAAATCTCATTTGAGCTGATGTATCGAATGAGAGAAATCTCGTGATATTTTAGGTTATACATATTATTATCCATCGAGGTGTGTAGGCGGAAGCCACTATCTTCCATGGCTAATCATATGTATGACTACATCTACTCTGGCCTTTTTGCATAGAATGCAAAGGTCTGTGATCATTTTGTCCCATGGGATAGTGCGGTTGTACTCTTTGCATTTTATTCTCCGTGAGCAGAATCCTTTTAGAGACCCACATCATCAGATTATCTATTTTAGATTTTTCTGATTGCTTTGGTCAACACACATACATATGATGTACTTTTGTAGGTCCATGAAACTTACTAGGGGTTCAATTATGGACATCATTTTTTAATGAGATTAACTTCATCCTCTTGAGCTTAGCCTTAACACTAAGGTATGTGCAAGACCTCTCTTGTAGGGTGGCCCTCTTAGGTGAATTCCTAAGGACTTAGCTTTGACCAATTTTAGCAAACTCAAAATCCTAACCTATTCCTCCTTAAAAGACCCATTAGAGGTATTAAGTTAGGAGAATCCTAGCTTCCCCGAGGTGTAAAAGATTACCCTTAAAGTCATTTTGAAAGTACTTCAAATCATTTACAAGCCTTTTTATGAATGATTGAAGCCAATCCAAAGCTTAAAATTCAACTATGCACATAGGTGGTTCTCATAGGTTTGATTAGTCCACTCATAGCCCCAATCAACCCATACCTGATAAAAGAGCCTCTTATGGACCTTACGATACTCCTAAGTGACCCTATCTAGGTAGTGGTACTCCACTAAGTCATCAACCCTATGTTAAACCCAAAAATGCCTAAAATTACCTTAATACACTAAGCCCTGGGTTTTACCCATAGGTAACCCTATGGTTCATCTTAGAGAGATTGTGCTCTTTTGGACTCACCCATAGTTGAAGAAGTCTTGAATAAAAGGGATTTGGCCTAAATAAATCCTTAACAAAAAAACTTAATAAAAACACTTAATCATGTTTATTTTACATGGGAATTAAGTCCAAATGTTCTTAACCCATATTAAAATTTATTGACTTGGGGCTAACTTATGGCCAAAAGAGTGCATCTTCT